TTACAGAGACCTTTAAGGATGAATTAACATAATGGGTTCAAGGAAGCCAAAGTGACTCAATGTGACTGTAGAGCAGACAAGGAAAGTGCCTAAGATGGGCATTTCCATGGGAGAGGCAGGTGCACCCTTCATAGTGACAGACCTGGTCTTTCTTTATAAATTTATCAGGAAGCCAAAGTGTGACAGGGGTCAGATCTAAATTTTTCAGTTATTTCCTTTGCTGCAATGTGGAGAATGTGCTGGAAGGGAGTGCATGTTGGTGGATCAGTAGGGACACATTTGTGGAGGCCAACTAAGAGAAGGGATTTGGAACAGGATGGCAGTATTGGAGGAAAAGGATGCCTATGTTGGCACCTGGCTTAGTCTGGCAGTGAGAAAACCAAGCTCTAGGTTTGCTCTTCATGGACTCCCTCCTACAGGGCCCATGAAGAGTACTATAGGAGGCAGGCTGAAATAATATATTTGGGAAACACTGGGAGTAGGGGTGATGGGTGTGACCAATAAGAATTCAAGCTGTAAATCAAGTTGAGATGAAACCAAAAGGGCTTATGAGTATTAAGCTTCTCAAACATGGTTTACACCAAACACAAACAGTATTGGTTGGGTATGGATTTGTCCCACAGCTCTTTTTATTGTAAGCCACACTTTATGACCATAATGATCATAAAACATCTATGTTTCTTGGGGCTTAAAAAAAGAAATATGTTTTTGTCATACAGCAAGTTGCCTTGAGTAGCTTGAAATGAAAGCCTTTTTGGTCAAAGGCCATTTGAAACCTCTGCTCAGCTAATGAGGAAGTTGAACCTGCCAGTTAGAATGGGTCTCACGTTTAGTGTCAGTGGTTCCTGGAACTGCCCTGGGTCATGGTGTCCAGTAGACTTCCCATATTATCCCACCACTACATTGCTCCAGCACTGACTTCCCTGAGCTATTGCCGTGAGCCTTGGACAACTCATTTAGCCTTACTTGACTGCCTCATACTTAAAATGGCAGGTCTCCAGCTCTTGCAGTGTCTTCTACCTCAAGGATATTTGATTCCTCACAACAAGGATCTCAGAGTCCTATGCTGTGCTAGATATGCCTGCATATTATTCTTCTGGATCACTGAGGACTTTGTCAGTGAACATCCACTGTCCTTGTTTTTGGTCTTAATAAGGGCAGGAAGAGTTTATTCCTCATCAATACCATTTGTTGCACTGAGAAAATCTTAAGCTTGTTTCTGAAAACCCACTGTAGCCCCATGAAGGCATCTTGCATCTTTTCTCCCAATTTACTTCAATCAGCAAATGAATGCATATAAAGTTAATGAGCATCTGTTGTGTGTTATACATTGTGCTCAGGACTTTCACTTAAGTGTTAGAAACCCTTGTAAGGCAAAGGTTATGTTCAGTATTATATATATATATTAAAAAAAAAAGGAGTTCAAGGCTCACAGAGGTTAACTTTCCCAAAGTCACCTAAGAAAAAGAAGATGGCAGAAGAGTATCAAACCCAAGACTTCTGATTTTATGCCCAAGACTCCTCTTGCCTTAAATTGGTAAACAAGCTGGCTTTACATGGCTCATGGACAATGAAGGAAAAAAAATGGAATCACATGACAGAAAAGTTGTTTTCTTTTCAATTCTCTCTCAAACATCCTGATTAGTCAAGTAGAAAATGTGTTTGATGTGAAAGTCGCTTTAGCATGTATTGAATATTTGCTAATCTCCCTTTTTAACAAAGAGAGCTGGTCTCAGACTTTACACCTTCAACACTCAAAAACCTTAGCAAGAATTTGATAACATTATTTTGATTTCATCTTCTAATTTTGGAACATCATATTGGTTTCCTTATGATAGTGATATAAAGCTTCCTTTTAAGGAAGAAAGTTACAGGAAAAAAATTTAAAATGTTGAATAAATTATTTTGTATGGGCACAATAACGATAAAAATCATGAAAGTGTATCCATCTGAATGATGCTAGGAACTATTCGATTGATTTAAACAGGCTCCTTTGCTCCTGGGACACATGGGCTTCATGTGATCATTGAGGCACTATATTCTAAATATGTTCTTTGTTGATTTGTTTTCCTGGGAAACATACAGAAGTGAATATAATGAAAATTATCTCTGTCACTAGGACCATTGAGTCATCCTTTTTAACTTTAAATTTTATAACCGAAATCAACCCAAGCTAGTAATGGAGTCTTAAAGCCTAGGAAAAATATGTAAGTTTATTGCAAAAGATAATATCCCATTTAAAACAGTTTAGAAATTTACAAAACCTTACATTGGTACATAGTCTTTAAGAAGGTGCTCTATAGATGAACTGGTATGAAGTTCCAAGTATAGTGAGTACCTATTTTTTTGACTACAGAGAAAGCAGCTACATAAACTCCTACAACTGAAGTTGATGTTTTGGTCTTTTTCCCTTCAATGTTATAAAAGTAATTTTTTCTAAATGAATATCTCTCCATAAAACCATACAACCTCAGGTACATTATTTCTGTAGAATATCATGGTAGATGTTATGTAATATTTGACAAAGAAGTGATTTCACATGGTAGATGAGTTATAGAGGTTTGGCATATGGATCTGTGTGTTGTCAAAATGTAGAGATAACCATTTTTGTTTAGCAGGAAGTTGTTTACTGAATCCATTTCCCTCCTAACTATTTAAAATTTTCAATATTCAGAAAAGACCCCCTTCCTGGTTTCAGGTTGGTGGCCTGAGCAATGCTGTGTTGTGCTTTGGTATAGAATTATTATAGCCTCATTTGTTGTTGTTGTTCTAAAAAATGTCAACATTTTCCAACTCCAATTTCATTTAATTCAGTTGAAGATTTATCTTAGGCCCCAACTCAATGTAAATGTATGACAAGGTGGACTTCATTATCCAAGGGTTGGATTATCCTTTTTGTGTGAGTTACCTCAGACACCTCTTCATCATTGCAGGCTAACTCTGGCAAGTGATCCAGCTCAGCTCTGGGTCATCCTGCTCATTTTGATGTTGGAATATGCACAGAGATTATAAAGTAGGTAGAGTAGGGATTTATATTTCCATTCAAGAGTGGACAAACAGGTCCTGAAAATTTAAGCAATTTGCCAAAGGTTAGTGTAATAGACTGTTGTGTTACTTGGGTATCTTAATTCCAGGAACAGGATTATTTTCTAACATGCTACCCAAGAATATAAATTGATTTGAAAATTAGTGTAAGCAAAGCAAATTAAGATAGAAGCTCTACTATGAGATAAAATTATATAAGAGATCCCAAATGATTTTGTCTTATTGGATTATCCTCTGTGCTGTTCTTTTCCACTGTTGGGGCCAACTGAGAGTTGATTGTGTGGATACAGAAAGATCTGTGGCTTTTAGCCAGTGGTAGCATATCTTATTGAAATGTGACTTCTTAAGTATAACAAGTGTATTTATCTTAATTCCAACTTAGTGTTATGTATTCTGGTCTCATTTTGTGGGTTTAAACATTACACTAGAAACAGAATGAGAACATCTTGAATGACATTCCAAGACTTAAATAGTGCAAGCTGAGACTCTCTGCCAAATTTCCCTCTCATTCCCACTGAAATAGCTTTGTGCACTGCAGCAGGGTGACAGGGAAAGGTGAAGCTGTCGGAGTGGTTTGTTCAGCTAGTCTCAATTTGCAGTGGGGTACATACATCCCACGTGCACTCTGCAGACTCTAACTCAGACACCTGATCTTCAGCAAAGGGGATTATGAAATGCCTTTTTCACTGAATGCTTATTGAGCTTTAGGATCCCTTTTCTAAGCAGCATCAATGCAACCACAGGCTGGTAGAGAATTTAATGCAAAGGATAGGAGCCTTTCCAACCTGCCCCTTATCCCCAAGAGTATGTAGCAATTAATTATTTTACTTTAGTAGTTTTTTCAGCCATGCAAGTTTGACTGGACCCACATGTATGAGGGTCTTCTCAAAAGAATGAGTCAGACTTCAAAAGAATTCAGACTTTGGGAAGGAAAGGTCTTTAATACTAAAATGTAAAAAATATATCCTCATTCCCAGTCTTGCTGCTTCTTCAGTCAGGTGACCATCACCTGGTCATCAGAAAGGGAGATTGTGAAGATTAATATACTTTGGAACTTATCTACAAGGCTGTTGCTGAGATGAATGACCAAGAACCAGTGTTGTCTTTTACCTTAGTTTTATATTACTAGTAAGATGAAATGGACAGACAAGCTGCTGGATCTCATCTCTTAAATATTGCAGGGACATTAACTGTGGAATCTTAAACTTCAAGCCCAGTCTTAAAGTTCAAGCCCAAACAAGGCCCCAGGCTGAGAACATGATGGTTTAAGGCAGGCCCTACTGCAGCAGTTACAACTGTAGGGTAGCCATACCAACAAGTTCCTTATACTCTGCTATAACCTCTTACTCTGCCACAGACTATAAAGCTCACACAGCATGAGATGACACATCCTTGATTTGGGATCTAAATGAAAATGACCCAACCCACTAGGTAATTTCACATTTTTATGCCTTACTTCTATTGTGTTTATGTGTGACAATATCTTGGAAAACTGTCAGTTTATGTATCTAATTTTTCCTGGGGTGTCTGCTTATAATGCTCCTCTATCTTCCTGTTATGCACAACATTGTTTTCTTTTGGGATGATGAACCCAGGATGAGAAGGAAGTGTTTAGTATCATGGAGGTGTTGGAAAATGTGATGAGGTTTTGCTCATGGTGGGAACTTAGACTTTCAAACAAGGTTGTGGCCTGGTCATGTATGATAGGGAACTAGGCAAGTGGTCACTCTAGGTTCCATGAAGTCCTCAGCAAGCAGTATCGTATCATTCATTCGGGTGAGATTAGTTGTCAGGTGTCCAGCAGCAGCTAAACTAGCCCCGAGTCTTTCCCATTCTGCAGGTTGAATGGCTAACCACCTGGGGCCTGTGCTAAGAAGTAGAGAAGGCCTGAGGGCAGTGATTTCCCCACCGTGGGGAGGTATCTGGGGAGGGCAAAGGGAATAGACCCAACAAGCTCAGATCCACCAGAAGCATTTCTTCTTCACTTTCTTGGTTTTCCTCCTTAAGTCCTGTTTCTCAGGGACTGGGGGTTCTGCTGGGGACTTTGGTGGGGGAGATGCCTCCTCCACTGGTTCCGCTTCCTCCAGACTCTGTAGAACTTCATGGAACCTGCCTTCCTGCTGCCGAAAATCATATTCTACACTGAAAAACATAGAGGAGAAGGAAGGAAAGTAAATTCAAACCATCACATATTGATTTAGCATCACCAAGAGACCAACTGACATAGAAGAGCATAGGCTTTGAGATCAAGTCCCAGGTGCTTAAGTAACTACTGACCTTGGGAAGATTTTGCCAGCCTTCTCAACCTCCAGTTCCTCAAGGACTGAATTGGCACCTGAAATGCCTTCCTTTTAGGGGTGTTCTTAAGTCTAAATGGGATGTGTAATATGGCAGCCTGATAGTAGGTGTTCAGTAAATATTGCTTCAGTCTCTCTCACACATTTATTTAATGCTATTAAATTGTTCATTCTTTTTATGCATTTTACACAAAGACTGTCTCATTATAGAAGATTTAAATAATGCAGAGGCATATACGATAAAACTGACAACTCAATTTCCTCATCAATAAAATGGACACAAGAGCAGCAACTATCTCAAAGGCTTTCTTTGAAATTAATATGTATTTTAACTAAGTGAGAGAACACAAAGGAAGTTCTTAGAGCAGTACCTGGCATGTAGTAAGCCTTCCACATGTGGTAGCTCGTGTTAGTGTTATTATTATCATCATTACCATTATTACCACTAATACATTATGACTTTATCTTTTCCTTCTCAATTTAACATGTGTCTCATAGAGCTTTCCCTATACACTTACCTCATAGTATTCCTCCATGTAGACATACTTAAATTCTTTCCTTTGATGGGCATTTCCTAATCTCCATTTTTTCTTTGCTATTTTATTTGTGTGTTTTGGAGTCATTAATGTACAGACTCCATTGTATTATCTGTACACAGATATTTGGTGTAAACATGATGCATCTGGGGACTGAGGGTTCCCAGAATCTGAAAGAGTCAGAGGACAGGGAGTACAGAAGCTCTGGCTTTGTTCATAGTAGGTGTTCACAGTGGGTACTCACACTTCCCATGCCCTTGAGGGCTTGAGAATCAGGCCTGCAGGTGTGTCAGAGTTTGTCAGCTTGCCTCATAACTCTGGCTCAGTTTTCCCAGAAACTGGACAGCAGGGCCAGAAAGAATTAATCCTACAGATGCCCCTGAAGGCTATGCATCAGCTCTCTCTGCCCTTAATTGTCCACTTTCCTCCCTAGGAGATTTACTTACAGGGGAGTTTCCACTGCCGAGATGATTATAAGAAGGCTCTTAAGCTCTCAGCTGTGTTTTCACCTGGTTTCATTCTAGAGGCCTCAGATGGCCCAGGATGAGTAACCAGTGTAGGAGTGTAGAAAGTGAAGGAAATGCAAAGTCACAGAAACAGTGCATTCTCCTTGCTTAGCAAGGAGGGAAATGAAATGTTTCATATGGAAGACAAAAGATCCCACTTGGGTTTATGATGTAGCATGACAGTCCAAGGCCTTTCTACCCAGCAAGGCATGAAAAGGAGCTATTATTAAAGGGACACTTGTCCTTATCTAATACCCTCATGTCACCTCTCAGAGACCCAGGATCAGAGTAAGTGCTGCTGGAAAGGCAAATCATGATTGTCGCACATGCCTAATAAAACCCTCAAATGCACATTCCAAGATGGAAGAAGCTAAAGAGTCAGAAGATCCCGATGGCATATTTTGAAGCCAATCTGATGGGGTATTAGTGCTTAGGGAGCATTTGGAAGATGTTTCTGATAATTTTGTTTCTGCATTTTTGATAAGCTTTACCCAGATTTTCTTCTCCTTTGTGTCATCCTTTCTTTGTCCATTCCTCCCTGGTCTATTCCATAGGGACATACTCCTGGCTGGGTGATCTATATAATGGCTGTGTTTTTCAGAGCAAAGCTCCATGACTAATTGTGAGATCTTGGGGAAGTCATTTCTCATATTTTAAGCCACAGTGTCCTCATCTGCAAAATGAGCATGGTACCTACTCATAGGATTACAGTGAAATTTAAAGGATATGCATGTACAACACTCAGCTCAGAGCAAGGCACCAAGTATACAGCCAGTCGTTCAACAAATATTTATTGAGTATCACCCATGTGCCAGGCCCTGTGCTAGGTGCTAGGGAAGGAATGATAGACAGACATATAGACATTATTTCTGGCTTCCTGGAACTGGTAGTCCAGTGGCTCTGTGTCTTCAGTAAATACTAGTCAACATCAAAAGCAATTAGGGACATTTTAGCCAAAGTCCAGGATTTGCCAGCTCAGTGAACAAAGGCTTCCACAGACTCAAACAATGAGGCTTTCACTTCCAGGATGCACTATCCAGCTCTGCACTCCTCTGTCTCTGGGCATAGGGTGAATTTTTGTCTGCACTCCCTGCACCTCACTCTCTGCAGTGGAAACTTAAGGAGATGGATTCAGAGGCTGGGGAAGAGTTGTTTCCAACAATCTCTGCATTGCTTCAAGGAAAGCATTAAAGCAGTAAGTTGCAAACTTTGATTCTTACCCCCATTAGCACTAGTTCACAGATAGGGGACACCCACATTCATAGTTTCTGCTACCTCCTGAAATATTCATAGCCTTCCCCCCAAGGCATAAAGATAACCTTCATCCTAGAGCACCAGATAGAGCCTAATAAAGTGGGTACCTCCTGCTCATTCTCAGAATTTCTTGTGCTTTCTGGTACAGGATATTCCACCCATCTATTCAGTCAGCCAGACTGTTAGCCAACCATCCACTTATCCAACCAAGTATCCACCCAACCAATTATCCATCCATCCATCCATGCATCCATCCATCCATGCATCCATCCATCCATCCATCCATCCATCCACCCATCTATCCAACCATTCATCCATTCAACCAACTATTCATTTATCCAGCCAGCTAGCCATCTATTCTACCATCCATCCTTCAATCCATGCAACCTATAGTCTATCCATCCACCCTACCTACCATCCAGCTAACCATCCATACAGCCAACTGTCCAGCCAAACATTTGTCCTGCTCTGGACCTGACATTATACTCAGTTGCAGGGATAATAGTAAGATAGACAGATGTGGATTCCTCTCTCACGGATCTTACATCCCACCATGTGAGAGAGATGATTAAACTAACAATTGCCTTAAAAAATGTTTTGCATTTATCTCAACTACCCCTACCTTCCAACTGTTTATGCATACACCTCTATCAAATTATATGAACATAACATAAACAGGCGTCCTTCTTCTCCTTATATGTAACTTTTCTCTGACTTCACAATTCAAACAAATGACAATAACAACAAACCACTTGAGTTTGTTAAGACTCAGAACAGTGTCCCAAAACCAGTTAGAAAAATAATGATCTGGAAGATTCCAGAATGTGTATAGAACTGGCATGCCTGGAGAGAGAAGAGCCAGGAGACAGAATGTTAACTCTGTCTCATCATCACAATTTAAAGTTCAGCCCAATATAGAGAATAGAACAGAGGCTCTCAAGTGGAACACTCCTGGGTTTGAACTGAGGCTATACTACTTACTGGCTGGGTGACCTTGGGCAAGTTGCTACTCTCTGAGACTCCGTTGAAAATGGGGATTATAAAGCTACCTTGCTAGGTAGTTGTGCAGATGGGACACAATAAATGGCGAAATGTCCTCACATAGGATATGGTCTCGGCCCACTCTACTCTTCACTAAGTGTTTTGTCTTCCTATCTTAGGGACGGACTGCCTTACTTTCTCACTCATACCTTTAGCTTTTTGGTAATTGTACACCTTGTCAGCAACATCACTCTTCACTCCTACCCTCTATATACATTCTGGGAAGAATATACTCTTTATGTTTCTATGGAAACACCACAGGTTTCCATTATAATCATTAGAGCTTAGGGAGCTCCCCACCCTCCTCCTGTAACTGTCCCCATGAGTCTTGGCAATTTAAAGAGGATTGAAAGTGACTTTCTTTTCAAGTCCAGGCAAATAGCAGAGTATAGGGAAGCATGTACACTTTGGAAAGAAATTGATTAATGGTTTTTAGGCCAAAACAATTTATTAACATAAAGGAAAACTGCCACTTTTCTTCTTATTCATCCATTTGACAAACTACTGTTTAGTTTGGAGAGGAGGAGAGGGAGTATATCTTGTTTTGGTAGCAGCTGCCTTATAAATAGGCTGGGGCAGTGCCCTTTCTCATCTGTTTTCATTTTGAGGCTGAGTAGAGAAGAGGAGATACCCCTCAACTCACAGCAACCTCTTGAAAGGGGAATAAGGTGCTTACAAGTAAACCCTTAGCAGAGGGTCCTTTGTAGATTCTGGGGAATGACTGTTTGCTTTGGGCTTGGTATCAAGGTAGAACACCAGTAACTTTTGCAACCTCACCACCACTTCTTTTCTACCTCTTAATCTCCCTACCCTGACACCCTTAGCATCTTCTGCCATTCATATTCCATAGGGAGGAGAGAAATATTGAGTGCTGAGCTTGAGCAGAGCTCTGGCTCACAGTTTGGGGCAAATGGTCAAGAAATTGTTACAATATGGGATTTAGGCCTGGAACCATTGAGATAGTCTGGAGCACTGAAGGTCTGTGAGATTAGTCCACTGAAGATGCAAGGAATACCTACCACCTGATTCAGGGGTGCCCAGTTCACTGAGGAGCCTTAGAGCCCTTTCTGCCCAAGATACCTGTGCATGGCACCACATTGCACTTAGAAAATGAGCTCTGTATAAAGCAAAAATGGAAGAGAGCTTTCCAGTTTTCTTCCTGAGGGCCCCTTACTAATCTGACAGATCAATGCTTAAACCATCATGCTAGGTGAAAAGTAGAAAGGTGTTTTTTCTAAGTAACTGGAAGGAGCAAGAAGCCTAAGTCACAGCTTTTCTGGAAGAAGAAATAGTGAGAAGCAAAAAGTAGATAAATGCATAAGTATATAAGAAAGCAACAGAGCCAGGCTCTAGATGCAGTATCTTGGCTAAGCAAACTGAAGTTGGATAAGCCAAAAGGAGATAAAAGTTTATATAGAAATAAACAGTAGAAACCTCTTACTTTTATATAGCACTTTCATATTGCAAACCTCTCAGATGTGTGTTTTTATTTTACCCTTACAATAGCC